CACACACACACACACACACACACACACACACACACACACACACACACGCACGCACGCACGCACGCATACACCCGTACCCCAAGCAACCGCAGCAGCAGCAGCAGCACCCACATACCCAAGTAACGAATCACCACCAACCCACACCCGAGCAGGCAAGCAAACAGATAGTGCCATATTCACACTGTAGGCACGCATGCACACACAGAGAGAGACACAGACAGGCAGCCAGGCAGACAGATAGGCAGATAATCCACTCCACTCCATTCCACTCCACTCACTTCACTCCAATCTAACCCAAACCTACGACACGCACACACACACACACATCAAACCACCGCACCGCGCAGGTATCCTCCACACACCACTACCAACATCAAAACCAACAATAAACCAGTCCCTTCCCACCCACACACCCACCCCAAGTTGAACCAGCATGCTGCTGATAGGAGCTGAGGTAGGTACCTATGCAGACACACACAGAGAGAGAGAGAGAGAGAGAAACACTCACCCACAACCACCCCTATCCCATTACCCCTTACAGTTACACCCACTTCACGCCTCCTCGCCGTAGCGTGTGGGATAGCTAGCTTGGCCGAGCTATGTATTGAGGAGTACGCTGGGGGTGTGGTAGGGTGTGTGTTTGGTGTGGCGGCAAGGCGTGGGTGGGGGGGTGGAGGGTGTTGGTTATAGGATTGGGCTGGGGTGTAGGTGTGTGGGTATAGATATGTCGTGTCGAGGCTGGCTTCGACGGCGGGGAGTACTGGACTAACTAACTAACTGACTGACTGACAGGCAGACGCGGTAGGGAGGTATGTATGTAGGCAATAAGGCAATAGACGAACGGAGCTGGAATGGAGAGGTATAAGGTCAGGCACTTCAACATTACTTCTCGCCCAACAGGAACAGGCAAGGACAGAGACATACTTGCACCCGATCATGCACTTGGCCACGCTGCACAGTCTAGCATTTGACATCCCGTCTCGAGTCTCGCTACTATTCCTTCTCGACGCAAGCACGTGGCAAGAAAGCCAGCAAGCAAGCAAGCAAGGCATTAAGCCAGTCTTCCGTCCGCATGAACAGGTACCTGCTAGTATCGTTTCGTTGGTACCGCTAGCGAGCATGCGTGTATGTGTGCATGTGCACAGAGAAGAGACCACGTAAGAAGCACGCACGCACGCACGCACTTACGAAGAAAGCAACCCGCCACCCTTCACCCGCACCCTACCTAGCCATTAGGGAAGGAGGGCATAACCATGCACACATCCCCACTCCCTCCCCCACGTACGTGCGTGCGTGCAAGCACACCAAGCAAGCACCCCTCTACCTCCCTATTTCCACTTCTGGACCACGACGCCGCCGCGCTTAAACTCGGCCATGTCGCCCAGCACCTGCGCGCGCTCGTTGAGCTCCTTGCTCGGAAACGTCGTCATGAGGGCATACTCGCGCTGCCGGCTGGCCGGGCTCGACGCGTCCACGAAGCCGTACAGGTCGCCCACCGTGTGCGTCGTGTTGAAGCGCGACTGCAGGCGCGTGCCGTCGCCCAGGCGGATCTGCATCAGCAGCGTGGGCTGCGCGTCGTCGACCTGGACTTGGGCCGCCGCAGGCGTGGCAGACGAAGACGAAGCCGACTGCGCCGATGCCGCTGCCGCTGGGGCCGCGGCCGAAGCGCTGCTGCTTGCGCCAGGCGTCGGGCTGCCCAGACGCTGGCCTTGGCCGCTGAACGGCTTGTACTTGGGCTTGGGCTGGACGTAGTCCTCGTCCTTGTGGGGGTGGACCTCGAGGTCGACTTCCTGGTTCTGCTCGACGTTGAGGATGTCGAGGGGCGCGCGGCCTTGGTTGATCATTTCGAGGAGGCCGGCGTTGGCGGGGTCGTCGTAGCGGTAGAGGCGGCCCTCGTCGATGCTGAACCCGTCGCGCCACAGGTGCATGACGCGGCGCACGCGCTCTTGGCGCCGTGGCTGGTTGGCGCCCGGGTCCGGAATGACGCGCGAGGGCGCGTCGTCGCCGCCGAGCGTCTGGCCTTGGCCGCTGAAGCGGGAGCGGGGCTGCTCGTCGTCGTCGCCGCCGCCAGGGCGGGGAGCGTTCCTGTTGAGTGCGATGTAATGGATCAGCGTCTTGCACGATTAAAAGAGGGTTTTGTGAGAACCGTACCTCCTAGCACGGTCAATGATCTGGTCGGTGAAGTCGCGGGCGTTGGTGCTGCGAGAGCTGTTGCCGCGAGAGTTGTTGCCGCCAGTGTTGGGGTTCTGGACCGCGAGGCCCGACTTCTCGCCACCAGCGAAGAAGTCCTGCTCCTCATCCGAGTCGTCATCGTCGTGGTCATGTCCGTGTCCTTGTGCTGCGCTCTCGTTCTGGACGTCCTTGAGGGTCCTCAAGCCCCCCGCACCGGCGCGCCTCGGGGCCTGTCCGGCGCCAGAAGAGCGCGACGACGAAGCAGCGGCCTGGGGTGCAGGAGCTCCGCTGAGGGTGCGAGGGCCGGTGTAGTCTGCAGGGACGGCGGGTTCGGCGGGAGACGCAGAGGTAGCCTCGTCTTGGGAATAGAAGAGAGTGATGGCGCTAGCGACATCCCAATCGGCGGCTTGGAGGGCTCCTTGGGCCTGTGGAGAGGGTTAGAAAGAGCTCGTGCTGGTAGAGGACAGATATGTACCTGGTCGGGACCGACACCAGTGACGCTGCAGAAGTCCGAGATAGCTTCGTCGCGGGCGGCGCCGGTGGGTTCAGTCATGGCGACGGCGGGGCTGTAGCAGAGCGGTTGAAGCTGAGTGATGGGAAGAGGTACAGGTCAAGTGTAGTTGAGCAGAGTCAAGTAAACAGAGAGTGATAGTGTGTGAGTGAACAACAGCTTCGAGGTGGTAAGTAGTAGGTAAGTAGTCAAGCTTGCTGACTCGCAGCACACATCAACGTCAGCGCGCCCCGGGAGCTCGCGCCCGCGGCCGGGAACATTCGACCATCGTCGTCGTCGTCAACACCAGAAGGCACGACGAGCATCCACACATCACGCATCCATCATGGCCTCGCCCGCGCCCCACCACCACCGCTCCACCGAAGAGTCAACCACCTTCCACTCGGACAGCGAGAACTACGACGGCAACAACGAGCTCTCGTCGTCGCCCGCCTCGACCTCGCCCCTCATCCTCTACCACCCGCCCACGCTGTGGGGCCTGCTGCGCGGCGCCGGCATAAACCTCGTCTTGCCCTTTGTCAATGGCCTGATGCTGGGCTTTGGCGAGCTGTTTGCCCACGAAATCGCCTTCCGCTTGGGCTGGTCCGGAACGAAGGTCGGCTTGCCTGCTCCCCAATCCCCGGGCACCACTACCGCTAACACTCGTCCGCAGATCTTTCCCTCCGGCCGCGCTTCCCGCCAGGTCGGCCCCGGCGTGCAGATGCAAGCTGATCCAGTCCGGCGCCGTCGCCGGAGCGGCGAGGAGCTGGACATGTACGCGAACCTGGAGTAAAAGGGAGGCAGGCAGGCAGGCAGGCACATGTAGCGAGGCCGCAAGGCCGTAGTGGCTGCAGCGGCAGCAAGGCCATAGTGGTAGCAGTGGCAGCAAGGACATAGTGGCAGCAGCGGCCCCGCTACAACAAGCAAGCAGTAGCATTACGCGATGACAGACAGACAGACGACAAACAGACACCCCCAGAAGAGCCGGAACCAGAAGAAGAAGAAGAAGAAGAGCAGCCAGCCAACGAACGAACAAGTAAATAAACAAACAAACGAATGAACAAGTACAGCCAGACAGCATCGTCATCCTCGCCATCATGAAATGTAACGCTGGTCGTAGTAGTCGTTAGTAGCAGAGCAGTAGCAGTAGCAGTAGCAGTAGAAACCCACCTAGTCAGAAGCACTGCCGCGCGCGGTATGTATGTACAAATGCACACGAGCGACACAAGCCAAGCCAGGCACACACACACACACACACACATGCACGTAGTAGAGCACCACAAGGCGTCCAGGTTTGCAATAGATTCCGTGACGTGACATAGCATCGATTATCCGCGCATCTGTGCGCATGTCCTGTGAGCTCTTTCCTGTCTAGCCAAGAGTGCGGGGCTTGTGGGCGTTTTTTGGTCTCCATGGCCGTGGTACCGTTGTCTAAGTTGAGAGATACGAGACTTGCTACGCTCTCGCTTCTACAGCGCAGCTTTGTTTACCGTGAGGATACCTATGACGTTTGTGATTAACCCCGTGACTGTGGTACAGAGACATGAATCCATAGGTAGCATTAATTCTCATCATCCCATGCTTCGCTCTACTAAATGCTTCTCGAAGCCATCATAGCAACCACCCACCCACCCATCCACATCAAGCCAAATCACCCTAACAAAGCCCATCACAAAGCCCATCCTACACGCACCACCCCACAGCTAATCCCGCCTCTTCCCCTCCCCCTCCCCACCAATCTCATGCACCTTCATATCCATACCAACCCAGAACCTCTTGCCGCGCCAGCGTACCGTCACGCCCCCATAAACGGCCCAGGCCCAGACGGGCCAAGCGAGGGCTTCGCGCCCCAGCCACGCGCACAACCACTCCGCAAACGGGCGGCGCGTGCAGCCCCTGCGCGGCGGCAGCGCGAAGCCCGGCGTGTGGGCGTCCAGCTCGATCGACGCGCCCGAGTGCAGCTTGCGGTACAGCGTCCAGTCGATGAGGCACCAAAGGGCGACGTTGACGAGCCAGAAGGCCGCGAACGCGGACCAAGTCGGAGGGATGCCGAGGGCGGCGTGGAAGGCGGGCAGCGTCGTCGCCGCGTACGCGCCGTACAGCGAGCAGAGGAAGCTCTCGGTGCCGGGCTCGACGAGCGTCGCGAGCGTGACGGTGAACTTGCGCACCCGGAGCCAGCGCACCCGCCGCGCTACGTACTCGGCCACGCTCATGCCGGCCATGGGCTGGATCGCCAGGTCGCCAAACACCATGGCGTGCTTGCCCCATTTCTCGCCGCGGGCGTGCTCGCCCGGGATGGGCTGCTTCCACAGCCGGTCCCCGACGAGGTGGTCCTCGCAGATGTTCTGCGAGAAGAAGTCGATGCCCTGGCCGTGCGTGAGCGCGTCCAGGTGCGAGCGCCGGAACATGTTCGACTTCCCGACGATGCACGGCGCGATCAGGACCGTGTTGATGGCCGTGTAGAACTTTGCGTGGGCCGAGGACATGAAGAGCTCCTCGAGGCGGCCGCCGCCGAGATGCCACGCGCGGGCGGGGCGGCCGTTGCCCGTGGCCGTGGCCGCCGCGCTGCCGCTGCGCACCGTCGAGTAGCTGGCCGTGCTGGTGGACGCGACGTGCGTTGCCTCGACGCCCAGCAGGCTCGCCTCCTCCCCGTGTGCCGGCGCCGTCTCCGTGTCCACTACCAGCGGCAGCAGGTGCACGAACTTGTTGGGCCGCTTGCCGCCGAACCCGCACAGCGTGTCGACCATGCGGCCCGCGACGCCCGGCCCAATCCACACATTGCAGTCCAGGATCCAGACGATATCGCCCCGCGCCTCGCGGTACGCGCGGCTCATGTTCCTGATCTTGGGATTCGGGCCCATGCGGTCCGCGTCCGCGCCCTGGAGGCGCGGGTCCTCTGCCTCGACGAGGATTTCGGCATCGAAGTCTGGGAACTCGCTGACCAGGCGCTCGAGGGTCGGCACGGCGGGGTCGACGCGCGAAGCGACGCAGAAGTAGACGGTGAGTTTGTGGCGGGGGTAGGTTTGGCGGAAGGTCGCGGCGAGGCAGTCGTACAAGCTGGGCTCGAGGCCCTTGACGGGACGAATGACGGTGACATGTGGGATCGCGGCGTCAGGGAGTGAGGAGACGGAGACGGCGGGCGGCGCGGCGGAGGAGTACCATCGTCGTCTAGAGAGAAGGGGGGAGCGGGTTAGTACCTGGCGCGACTTGGGCGACGAGGAATGCGCGCGCGTTGGCTTACAGCTGGGTGTAGCCGACGACGGAGACGAGGACGACGGCCGTATACCAGACCAGGCAGATGGCGGCTAGGATTTCGGCGAGGGACCAGGCGCCGGCATCCTCGGCCGCGGCTTCCTTTGTCCAGCCTGCAATGCTCACCATGCGCTGCAGTTGATTTAGTTTACGTGTGGATGCGTGGTAGCGAAAATCGCACGTGTCGGCCGGCGATGACGGGAGGCTGACGGGCTCGGAGGCTTTCGGTGATGTCACGGGCGAGTCGGGGACGGGACGATATATATAGGTGTCAGTTGTCGCTGTTGCTCGGTAGCGACTCAGGCCTCCCCTAACCCAGCTGACATGCAAGGAGAGGGCAAAAATTCATAGCAATTGCTGATAGGATTGTTACATTTTATATCATGCCGAAAACGAACATCACTCTGGCCAATCCAGACTCCTCGCCTTCCCTTTCCTACTCTGCGGTGAATTGGAATTAGTCTCGGGGATCTCGATCCACTCCCCTCTGCAGCCCAGGCCCATCAATCTCTGTCGTTCGCTCATCGCGCCCACCCGCCCCTTTCTCCAGTTTGTAAACAGCACCCACACCAAGCAGAGCAGCGCAATCCCTCCGATGAACCCCCCGAGCACCGCGCCGATCAGTCCCCGAGCCGCAAAGCCTTTTCGAGGAGGAATGTAATGTTGCGGCACCGTCCCGGGGCAAAACGTCTTTGGCACCGCGTACTTGACCAGGGGTACCACCTGCGCCAAGTAGAACACAGACGAGTCGTAGTCGAGCATGAGGTAGACTTGGCTCAACCATGCTAATGACAGGTAATTAGGCGTTGTGGAGCTTTCGTTCCGGTCCGCGACTGGAGACAGCCCTGAGACGTTGTACATGACCTCGCGGGGAAGCGTGGCGCGGAACCCATTGGACAGCACGATGGTCATGCTACCGTTGTATGGCTTGCTGAGAGATAGCGAGCCGTCTGGGTTATCGGAAGGCACTGCGGATAGAGCAGAGATGTAGTTCTGCGTTATCTCGTATGGGAGAGAAAGGGGGTACTGATCGGTCGTGATCTCAGCTTCAAATCCCTGGAAGTCGTCTTTGAGCTCTGGGAATTCCGAGGCTGAGAAAAGTGAAATGTTCCTATGCGAATTTGACGGGTCTTCTAGGACGATATCCGAGACTTTGACGCTCAAAGGGCTGGCATTGAACGTGTCCATCCGGTAGCTGTAAGGTATGCCAGTGAAGCGGTTAGAATCGTAGCCTCCAAGAGTAAGACTGCCGTTAACCACGCCTCCGGCTCGTTCGGAACCAGACGCGGTATAGATCGAATACGTTCGCCCTGCAATACGATTATTGTCGTATAGTTGCTGTAAGAGAGTTGACTTTGGTCCCAAGCCCACAATGCCAGGGTTTGGCTCCCCCTTCGTCGCAACCTCAAAAGTGAAGTTATGGAGGATCTCCTCGGAAGGGGGATTCGTTTCGAGGAAATGAGTGAATATATGTAGCTCGTCCTGACCGGCGAAGCTTTCGTTGAAGAAATCCCCTGTATCATCTATGGCAGAGTAGTCGTCAATTCCTAGCCAAGTACCCGACTCCGAGAAGTTGAAGTTGCCATGAGTCTCGTTCACGCAGTGGGGTAAGCGACTGTGTTTGCAATAATCGATAGATGCGACAGAGATCTCGTTGTGAGAGAGCGAGGGGACCAATGACTGATTCTGAGACGGAGAGCCAACGCCTAGGAAAGTTCCATACTGGTAGACAGGTGTGCCATGCACGGCGCGCTTGTGCATGTCCACGTAAATGGGGCCTAGCGAACAGTTGAAAGTCAAAGACGCCCTGGTCAGCCAGAAGAGGAGGTAACCACAGACAAGAAGCCTCGCCATAGCGAGGCGGTCTTGGCGGAGTTTTCGGAAAAGGGAAAAAATGTAGGTATGCAGTTGAAGCAATTATGACGGGTAAGCCGAGAGCGGCGGTCCAAACACGCAAAAAAGCCCCTCCGGCGTCGTCCTTGTATAAACCCTTCTCGAACCATCGGTCGTACAGCAGCCTAGCGATCGCCACACAACACAAGCTGCCTCAGCCCTCCCGCGTCATCATGCCAAACAAGTGTTCAGGTCGGTGCTTCGAGTGTCTCGATAGGACGCGACAAGTGTCGCCTCGTCGAACATCTTACACCGGACAACGCTACACCGGGTCTCCACTTGGATAAGTCCCATGGGACAGTTGGGCCGCGTGTGCTGGTGGTGTTTGAGGCGGAGCCTGTCGTGAACAGCGATGTCAGCGGCTGCTGACAGGACGATTGGATTGTTTGGATCTTGGCGCGTGCACTTGCATGCTTGAAGTTGCAGGTGGCTTCGAAGATTGCCGTGTACACCAAATATGAAGAAGGCGGAGCCTGTTCTATCTTTAGATTGAAAGGGTCAACGTTGTGAGGCCGGTTGTGGGACCAAAATAGGTCAGCACTAACCGAACAGCTGCCATAACTCACCATCCACATGCCTCGACTTCCACCAGCCAGGAGCGGTGAAGCTTATACCCAGCCAACCGATTTTGTTTCTGAACAATCTTGCTGACTGAAACAGCAACGCATTAAAGACTGCGCGAGACCCCGGATTTTTCTTGTTCCATTCATCTAAGCTTCGCTCCTCTGCTGCTAAAGAAAGGTATACAGGTATGTCCGGCTCGGTGCACTTGCGAAGCATCATTCGTCTAACGCATACGAGAATAAACATAGGCCTCCCCAGTCCTCAGGCTCTGTCCTATAACAGCAAAAGAGCAAGCTTCATACACATATTTAACCATTCAGCCACCTGTCAGCCGAGCAATGGTTATGGTATTGTCTCCCCAATACATCGGCCGGTGCGCCAATGTTGGCGAGCGTTCTGATAAGAATGAGGGCTCGGAGACATGAGCGGGAGATCAATTGGTAGCAGATCCGTGACGGATATGGACAGATCCATAGTAAGCGATGATCAAGTGATGGAGCGGTTGGTTGCATCGGCTTCAGGCTGCCTTATCTCGCGGTAGGTGGTACAAGACGGTGGTCGATTTGTTTCTTCGTTGATCGGATGATACCGTTACCGGGAGAGCCGTTCAAGTCTCCCGAATAGTCCAACGCTTTTCTGTGTTCTTTGGTCCGACCCGTTCCGCAACGAGTGACAGGGTATTGGTGATCGCGTCTTTGGGGATCTTTGGGAACCTATGTTTGCATTAGCCAGTGTCGCAACAAGATGCGGTCAGTGAAACACTCACTTCTTCTTCAAGGCTTCGATCAAAGCCAACTTTGTAAGATCACTATCACGGATTGCATCTTTGAACTCCGTCATAAGCTCAGGAGGTATCGTGCGCTTCGCAGGCTTTGGCACTGTAGGCGTAGTGTGGGTAACCTTAAGCTGATTCTGGAAACCAACGCTGGCGCCGTTCACGCCATCAGGCCGAGAATGCAATGGAAGCCGTGGAGGGTGCATCATTCCGGCGCCGTTCAAGTTTGGAGCAGATGTGGGGGCGGAGGTGGGCTCAGTCTGCCAGTATGCCGTAGTGAAGGGATCGATAGAAGTTGGGCAAGGTTCTAATTGAGGTTAGCAAGAACTTCTCGCAAGTGAGCAAAGTTATACACATACCAAGCAATATGCCCATGCGGTAGTCTGCGAAGTTGTGCTGAGCACCAGAACCATCTCCCCTGCGCAAGGCTCCTTTGCTGTCTTCCCAGCATATGCCGGTACTGATAGGTTCGAGATCACCTGTAATGAGCTTGCGCCTGTTCTGCACCGGATCATCATCGTCGTCCAAGAAGCCATCGAGATCATCGTCACCTTCCTCCTCTGCATCGTCTTCATCTTCAAGGTCAAGATCGTCCCCCTCCTCAGGTTCTTCCCACTCCGCTTCAGAATCGTATTCGTAGTTTGCCTCAGGAAGAGTTCTAGAGAAGGGATTGCGTGCTAATTTTCGTGACTGATGTTCTGACTGAACTCGCGTGAAGGTGCCGCAGTATGGAGGACGTACATCCTCACCGAAGTGCAGGTACTTAATTGGGATTGACTTAAGCAACTCGAGCGGTTGTTGGGCCTTGGCTTCTGATGACTCTTGCGTTAAGTCGATAGGTTCGTCCTGCGAACCTTGGAGCCGTGCGACTACTTCTTGAACTGCGGGCGTCATCTGGCCTCTCTTTCCTTGCAGCGCTGCAGGTAAACTAACAAGAGCTGCGAAGTTGCCTTCCTTGAGAGCCTGCTCGACCCTTCGCCTTTCATCTTCGGAAATTGAGCCACCTGCTATGCTGTCCAATCTCTTCCGTGCCTCTTCAAGCTCTCGGTCGCTGCAATCAGCCCAGTAATAGTTGTCGGGAGCGCGTGTCGCGTGTGATGGAAGTTCGAAAGGAAGGAAGGTCCGCTCGTAATCCGAGACTGGTTGCTTGTTCTGGGGTGTTGTGGCGCGCCTTGCCGACGGGCTTTTAGGTTCTAGCGATACCGACTTCCGTCTATCAACGTGGCCCACTGTCGAGGTCGCTGCTGCATTATCCGAGGACGAGCTGGCGGCAGCATTCTTTGTGAAGAAGGAGTTGAGTTTCATTTGAGACTAAAGTAATCCATGTTAGCCGGATTCAATCATGCGAACAGGCCGTAACGTACCTTCTCTTTCTTACGTTGCTCTTCTTCCTTTTGCGCCTTCTCTTGCTCTTTCGCACGCTTCTTCTCGTCTTTCTTGCGCTGCTCCTCATCCTTTTGCGCCTTCTCTTGTTCCTTTGCACGCTTCTTCTCCTCCTTCAGTTCGTTTTTCTTTTTGGCCTCTTCTTCCTTCTGAGCCTTCAATTTCTCCCGGGCTTCCAACTTGGCTTCCTTGTCGAGACGTTGCTGTTCTTTCTCTTCCGGAGTAAATTTTCTTCGCTTGGCTGGAGTAGGACCACTGGATGCGGTCGCTTTCTCAACTGCTGTTGACTTCGAGTTGCCTGAAGTGGGTGAGGCCTGGTTAGGTGGAGCATTGTCGGGCGCTACAGGGCTGTCGCGAGGAGACTCGATAGATTTGGGGGTTGAAAGCGCATCAGAGCTATGAGGAGAATCTAGTGAGTCCTTGGCTAAGGCAGGCTGCGCATTATGCGAATCCGTATCGTCGGGAGCAGGTCGCTTGCGAGAAGGGGTCGCAGTGGCCTCAGGACCCTCAGGCATAGCGGGCATTATGTTACGAAACGAAGCGACGAACGAAAGAGCACGAACAAAGATGGTGTTGACGTCGTCAGTTGTCTCGGCGATGAGTGGTTGCAGGTACGCGACAGCAACGCGTCCGACTCGGAAGGTGCCTTGGCGCGTTGGTGATCGACGAAGCTCGAGCCTTCCGTTTCTTCGACCCCAGCAACATGGACGCCGATGATGACATGCTCTTTGGAGCAGTAGAAGTCGCCACGACGAGTCAAGGGAATCAGACCATTGCGACACTGGAGACGCCTCACATTGACGAAAGTACAATTGACAATGGCTTTCACACCAACTCTGCGCAACCAGACCTTCCCGTCACCTTTCCGCCTGCAGAGTCTGTAGACGACGCCCGCCACCATGCCCTAGCTTGTATCGAGCAGATCTTCGAATCCATGATTGATGTTGTCACCAGTGGCAACGGCCATCTCACAATAAAATTAAAAAGCAGAGCCTCCAATACCTCCACTACGACTACTCGGACTCGAGCAGTTCGTTATCCGGGGAAAACTGCAAGAGAGGCTTGGAGATGCAGTAAATGCCTTTAGTCTGTTGATTTTCCTACAACTAACTCTCACAGCTGTCTTGATTCGCATGCTCGAAGTGATCCATGAAGCTCTGACCAAAGATGTAGTAATTACCAAGAGGTAATGTTATGAGGTTTCATTTATCATGTCTTTAATATTCATTGCCTTGTAGAGAGATCTATTACAGAGACCCGGCTCTATTTCACAACCAAACAGTCGTGGACCGGCTCATCGACGACATGGCGTTTACAATCGGCGTCCCCAGGGCCTCGCTCAATGTGGTATATACTTATATGCCTTCATCATTCATACAAGGTACTGATTGGGGCAGAGTGCCGCCGCAAAAGGATTGACCGTCGGGGCTTTTGCAATCAACAGCAGTGATGGCTCGCAAACACAGAACTTTCTCACTCAAGAAGTCAGATTTCCGTCCTGCTGCTTACATCAGATGCACTCACATAGAACAGGGACTTCTCATACCGAAACTCAATGACGGCGATACAATCAGTATGCCGGCTGTCCGTTGGATACTGGTAGTTGAGAAAGAGGCACCATCCCTACTCAACATGCCGGTAAAATCTAATAAACTAACACATCCATAGGCCGTTTTCCGCGCCCTCATTACCTCTAGTTTCTGGGGCTTACACAGGCACCAAGGCATCGTCCTAACAGTGAGTTCCTGTCCAACACAACCACTTCTACGTGCTAATGCCACCCCAGGGCAAAGGTTACCCCGACCTGCACACCCGCACCCTCTTACATACTCTTTCAACGCCCTCGCCCCGCAACGCACATGCCACAGCTTCAGTGCACGCCCTCGTCGACCTCGACCCTGACGGCCTTGCCATCCTTGCGACGTACAAGCATGGCTCGCGTGCACTTGCACATGAGGCCATTACTACGCGCGTGCCAGGCCTGCACTGGCTTGGCGTCCGCAGTCAAGACGCTTTGAACGCTATGGTGGCAGGAAAAGAAGACAGTAGCGGTGGCGAGGCACTCCTACTGCGCCTGACACGCCGCGACCGTGCGATGGCGGCACGGATGCTGCAGCGTACGGAGTGCGCGGAAGAGGAGACGTGGCGCCGTGAGCTGCAGATCATGCTAATGCTGAATATCAAAGCAGAGATCGAGGCGTTGGAGGAGGGGTGGAGGGGTGGGCTGGCGGCGTGGTTAGGAATGAAGTTATCTGGAGCATGGGTGGAAAGAGAAAGCGGCTAGGCTGTAGGATGACAGGTCGCAAGGGGGAAAGATGGAAGAGATTGGGGTAACGTGGTGGGTAACGTTGCGCTTGCTAGGAGAGTGCCTGTTATAGAGATGCAGACACGATACGGAGGTATGTACAGTACCTGGTAGACCGAGACGTATTCTCGCCCAGCAACCCCCGCCTTACAGTCGCATATCTTCATGCCAGCGACTGCACACAAGCACGCATGTCCCTGCTAGTCAGCGCGGGGAAAGATTCTTAGTCTCCGCCATCACCATGGCGTCCTGCTTTCAGCCGCTCCCGAAATTCAGCCTCGGGTCATGATGCCCCTCAATCAGCTATATGCCTACAGATTATGCAGCAAGCAGACGGCAAACGACGCTGCCGCACTGTACCGCCGGAGGGAGGACCGTCTTGCTTGCTAACTGCCTCATGCATGCATACGCACTCAGCTCTATGACGACGCCGCACCGCTGCATGGTGGTAGCGAGGCGCGGGCGGGCGCTGCAGTGGAAAAGATGAGCGGGGCGTTTAAGGTGGGGCTACAGGGTAGACGGTGGTGAGACGGATGGTGTTGGAGGTAGATGGAGATAGTAAAACGGGCCATTGGGATTGCCTGCCGCGCATAGAGAAATGGCTATGCAAGGAGGGGGGCGAGCGGGCTGTCCGCCTGCCAGGCACGGCAAAGCCGACGGTGCAGAGAGCGTTTGGGATGGCGCAGGGCATCTGCAGCCGTGGCTGAAGTGGGTTAGTGGTGTTGGAGGGCTGGCGAGAGAGGAGCGGCGGGTGCAAGCAGTATCAATGTACAATGTCGGCTCAACTCTGTCCAGCTACCGCGCGGCCGCGCCGACGACGATGTGATAACGCTCTCGACAGCCTCAACAACAAGTATTTGGCATCCCGTGACCGTCACGACATGCGTGGGATAAGCCACAACCGGGCGATCCGACACGTGTCGCGCCTCGACGATGCGAAGGCTGACTGCGACGCATGTGATGAGCGACTCGAGTGGCCCGGGGCCCCGCATGCGCTCGGGCCGTCACCAACGCGCACTGCATCGGCTGCCTCTCGCAGTAATTCCACTGGCCTCGCTCCCATTTCGTTTCCCCTAGGCCAGCATCATGGCTGCTGCCGGCGAAGCTGATTCCTCGACGCATCCTCCCGCCGCGCGACCCGTCCCCGAATCAGCGCCCGAGCACCATGGCCGCCCTTCTTCTCATATCCCGCCGCTGCCCGACGATACTCCCTCCAAACGCCCGCTGAGTGGTTTGCGTTCGCTGTACACGGGCGCCACCTCATTTCGATCTCGTCTGCGCGGTCGTCAAAAGGCCCCCAGCACCGCGACTTCCGTGTCCTCGTTGCCCGTCATCGTGCGCACCTACTCTGGCGAAGACCGTCCCTCTCAGTCCAACAACACCAACCTCACCGCTGCCGCCAAGGGCAAAAACATGGCCACCCTAGTCCCACCTGTCTCTGACTTCTCGTTCGACGGCATCCTTCGTGCCGTCGAACCTGATATCTCGGGTGCCATCGACGCCATTGCGGCCATCTGCGCACGTAGCAAGTTCTCTCTCGCCGACGAGTATGCTGCGCACCGACCTCCTCATGAGGTTCTCGAGACGCCCATTCCGTACCCCCAGCCACAGCGTCTCTCGCGGTGGTGGACGGCGGGTGGAAATGCGCTAGCTCCGCTTCCCGAGGCCAGCAGCAGCAGTGAGCGCCTCGCGGGAAGTCACAAGGATTCCGAGTCCTCCAGCGCCGGCAAGAGCAGGAAGAACTCGGCGTATGGCAGTCTGAAGAGCATCGTGTCCGGCGAGGGCAAAGGCGGGCTGGCAGCTCTCTTCGGCGGCGGGGAAGCAGACCGGCAGCAAGACGAACGGGACAACTGCCAGCCTTCCCGGGCCGTCGACAGCGCCCCTTGGATAGTCTGGGACTCGTCACATCCCTCCATCATGCTGACCTCTGGGCCTGCCGCCTCTCCCCACCTCTCGCTTGCCACGTCAGACCAGCCGTGTCGGGCGGACGCGGTGATTGGATCCGCTGCGCCTATGCCAGCATCGACTTCCGTGCCGCCACCGACGGCTCGGATGTCGGAACGCGAAAGTGCAAGCTCGCGTTCAAACTGGTTGCCATGGGCTCGCCAGCAGCATGCCGCGTCCGCACCCGTGCCCGTCGCCGACGGCTCCAACGCGGAGCAGAAGCTGAAGGAGCTGCTGCGAGCGCCGTCGAACGGCCAGTCAAAAGCCGCGACGAGCTATGGGTGAACGAGATGATCTGCCATCTGGTCGGAGTTTGGTGTATGGTGTAGTGATGAGCATTTTCTCAGCCGCATGCTGATCTCCCTTCGAGGTCTGCCTTCTCGATCATGTCTTCCTTCGTCATGCAGGTATGAAAGCGTCCATACATACTGCACACGTCGACCATCGAGCAGGCACAAGCCGGACCAGACACTCTGGAGGTGGAGTCTCTCGTTAGTACGGGAAAATTTTGGTGTCTTTGCGCGACAGCCTTTTTCAATCCTTTCTGGAACTATACGTGGGGTCGCATACCATCCCCGGCCAGCTTTCGCGGGCCCTTCTCATACCTTTTGGAGGGGAAGTCCGAAAGGACCTTGGTGTTTCCACCTAACAGCCCTTTACAGTCCTTTCCGGAACCATTGTCGCAACGCAGATCTACTATGGTCAGCCTGGCTATGCCCTTTTCAGGTCATCTGGGGATGGGGTCCAACGACAGCACCCAAAGGCCATGACACTACAACGAACAGCCACTCGCTATCCTTTTGCGAAGCCATGTATGGGGTATCATATCGGCCACGATCAGTCCGCCTTGCTATCCTCTGATCTTCTGGAGTCGGGGTTCGGCGACAGGATGCAGAGGTCTTGTTGTCCCTACGAACAGTTGTTTCCAGCAACCTACAAAACGAATTTTGCAGTCGCGCCTCTTGGAGTACCACTACCATCCCGACCGGGCCGTGTTTAGGCCCGCGCACTGTCTTGCCACACACACCACGACTCGCTCTTGTGCTCTTGTCGATTTCTGTTTCTCTCACGCATAATAAGTCACACTTGCCAAACTTTTTCCCATCAGCAGCCAGTAATGGCTCAGGGTTTGTGGTCTAGTGGTATGATACTCCCTTAGCACTATCACATTGTTGAAGTCCTACATGGGAGTGGTCCGGGGTTCAATTCCCCGCGAATCCAACAGTACCAGGTTCAATTCCTGGATCATCCTTTTTGTTTTGTTTTTTGCGGAGCTGCGGCTGTATTGGAAGGGAGGAGGTGGTGGTGGTGGAGGGAGAAAAGGGGGCAGCTGAAGCGAGAGAGTGGCAGACAAGTCAGACGGACGGCCTGGCCTGTGCGTGAGTTGTTGCTTTTTGAGCGGGATTGCTTCTGCGATCGGATTGTCGTTGATGCTTCTTCCTTTTTTCTGGTTCATTTGTCATTTATCACCTGTCTATTTTTTTTTTTTTTTTTTTTTTTT